AGGCATTCTCTACCTGTGCTTCCCACCTCTCAGCGGTTCTCTTGTTTTGTGGGACTGCAATGATTAGATACATGAAACCTGCCTCTGGCTATTCAGACACCATGGACAAGCTTGTGTCAATCCAGTACAGTGTCCTAACCCCCATGCTGAACCCCATTATATACAGCCTGAAAAACAAAGATGTGAAAAAAGCCATAAAGAATCTATTTAGAAACTGACTTTAGGTACGGTTTGCAATAAAGTGAATTTTTGGATAATCTTGATGCATGAAACAGATAGATTGTATAATTAAAGCCTATTGCAGTATGGGTGGGGATGGGCTGGATGGTAGAGAATTTGGGCTCCATATATTAAACATTTTGAGATGCTGGATACCTTTTCCTGCACAGAGGATTTTGCTGCATTCCCTTGAGTAATGTTTGAAGGACCGTATGCTACTGATCTGTGGAGCCAGGACCTATTTTCTCTTCTCTCTTCTTTCTTACAGAATGCTACTCAGCCTTGCATTCACATATTCCAGTGAGATAAGGGATATATGTATTCCTCTGTGTGTGTATGTGTGTGTGTGTGTGTGTGTGTGTGTGTGTGTGTATAAAGGAATGAAGCCGCATCCAGTTCCTCCTCATAAACTCAGCTTTTCTGTCATGCATAAAGAAGAAAAAACATACCAGGAAGGGTGGTCATTTACTTAAAATAAGGTTGAGAGGTTCTATGCATTGGTTTTATATCTCTGTATTGGTTTTATAGTTTTTTTTTTTAATATGTTCAGATGACTAATTTTTTTTTTTAATATGGTCAGATGACTAATCAATAAAATTTTCTGTAAGGTTGAGAGGTACAGTTTTCCTTATTCTGCTTGAGAAAAATCATATGTTAGAATGCTGATTCTCTTCTTCAAGCTTTGTATTTCTAAAAAAACATAAAAAATATATTTAGGCTGTTGTGATTTCTTCCAAAGCAAATGGAGTTTCATTAAATTCACTGCATCCTAGAGCCCACCTATTGGAGAAATAGAACAATAGGAATATATTATGTGCTCAAGATATATATGTGTATTTGCTTTGCTCCTATATTTTGGAAGAACTCATTGTGTAGTCCAGCACAAATACAGGATCTGCTTCCTATATTCCCTTCAAATCTAGTTGATGTTAACAGCTCTTCCATCGATTTTCTGTGATTATATAGGGAAATGCTCTATAGAAGGAGAATCATATTAGTTTATGTAGCTCAGAATCAGAAAATGTCTAGTAACATCTTTTTTAACTAACACATTTTATTAAAAGGCATCAGGTTTTGTGATCTGTAGTTCACCTCATGAGAACCATCTATGCATAAACTCACAAACCCTTGTACTTTCAAATAAAATCTGTCAGAAAAGGTTCTTATAAGACTCCCGATATAGCAACAGAGAGAATCATTTGGTTCATGGAAGTAGTGTATTTTATTTACTTTTTAGGAAAAATATATATACTTTTATTTCAAGGTCACATTCTCTCCCCTCCTCACAAAAACAAGCAAACAAACACTCCCTATTCTAAGTTACTAAAAATATTTTCTATTATTATATTAAGAGAAAGGAAATTGGAAGTGGGACTATTTGGTCAGCTGGAATAAAACTGAGAAAGAAGCTCATTGTCCATCTGATCATTTTCTTGGCAAATGGGACATTGCTTGGATTCTTTGCTGCTACTGTTAAATGTAGCCCATCCTCTTCTTGACCACTTTCAAGATCTTTTTATGGTTGTGTTGTTGTTGTTGCTTTGAAGTGCTTTACCAAATTCAAGAAGCTGCTTGGACAGGGTTCCTCAACTTTGGCAACTTTAAGACGGGTGGACTTCAACTCCCAGAATTCCACAGCCAGCCTTGGAAGATTGGCTATGGAATTCTGGGAGTTGAAGTCCACCCATCTTAAAGTTGCCAAGGCTGAGGAACCCTGGCCTAGAAGAAACATAAGCAAATGGAAAGCCTCCTCTATTGAGTCAAGTCAGTTAAAGCTTGAATAGAGCTATTGTGAATATTCCAGATTCAAATTAATTCCCTAAGTGTCCTTAGTTTAGTTTATCAAAAGTGTCTTATCATCATAACTTGAGAGTTCTTAGTGATGGCACATGGTGTTATTTCTGTACCTCTAATCAATAGATAGTAAACATCATCTAAGCATTCCCACATCCTATTGCAAGAGAGAATCCTCCTCTCTAAGGACAGAGAGTGTTATCTTCATGTTCTAAGCTAATTCATTCACACTTACCTCTGTGTGTATTTTTTTCACTTTCAGATTTAGTTGAATGCTAGGTGAAATGTCTTAATAGTAACAGCAGTTTGACAGTGAACTGATTACATGTCATTCCTTTCACTTTCCAGAAGAGATTGGCTATCCATCTCTCAAAGTTACTTTAATTTGATTGATACATTGGAAATGTGACATTATTCCAGATGTTAAGGAATAGTTGCTGGAAATGTGTGATCTATTTGTTTTGGAAAAGGCAATATTTTCTGCTAATCAAAGGATGCATAAATATACAGTATACTACTATCACAGAATTTTTGTGATATGTTATAATAATATTTTGTACTGATTATATTATTGCAGTATATTTATTAGTAAACCAGTTACTTTTGATGTGTATAAAATATACTGTAGATTTTTTTCCTTTCCTTTTTTTTTCTTTTGGCTTCTCTTTTTTCTTTACATTTAGAGTTTGTTTTGTTAACTATATATGTTAAAATGTGAAATAAAAATAAATATAAATACTAATTTGGATTCCTTCACTGCATAGTAAGCTAGATATCATGGCCTAAATGGCTCCTTCCAACTTTTAGACAATCTTCCCTGAAAACTATAAAAAAAGATAGTTCTGTAAGGGAAATAATATATCACAAGAAGAAGGAAGAGGAAAGAATGAATATTTCCTGAACAGAGGAGAAAAATTGGACAAATGTTTGCTTAGAATGTTTGTGTGTGAAAGAGAGAGAGAAAGAATAACCAGCATTCAGAAATTGTTCATCTAAATCACTGATTTCACTATCTGGGTGAAGTCAGTGAGTGAGTGAGTGAGTGAGTGAGTGAGTGAGTGAGTGAGTG